GAGACTACACCTGGGAGAGCCCAGGCCATGGTACTGTCACATACTCACGGCTGCATCGAATGACTTCCCACAACAGGTGTCATCACTCAGGGCCTCAGCATTGCAACCAGAGAACACAGACTGACATGGGAGAGGCCCGCACTGATTTCCAGCCACTCCAGACTCATGGACATCATCGCCCATGGACTCAACAGCCAGATCCTGGAGAGCCCAACAGGCAAATCACACACAGACTCACAGCTGCACCCAGAGCATACAAATATGATTTCCTACAGCTGACAACATCATACATGGCCCCCGTCCCTTGTACAGATGATTCCCACTTCTGACAATCCTGAAGGCCCATGTCCAGATTCACGCTCTATAATGATACCTCTATGGATACAAACTCACCTGTGAACTTGTGACCCCATGTGACCACATATGACTCTTGTCACAGAGAGGGGAATTCACAGGCAAACACAACTGTACAGAGAAGCTGCGGTCACAGACACACACACCATTTCATTCAAGCAGATGGCCGCACAAAGCCACGTGCACACAAAGCTGTTCACAAATCAAGTCAGAAGAAACGTTCAGGGAGCGCATATACAGGTGCACAGACAGGAAAAGCTGGGGTGCAGAGAGGACTCTTACTATCATTACAAAGAGGAAATCCAGAAAATACATCTCAAACTGCATGAGGAGGAAACAAAGGAACCAGATAGGACACAGTGGCCCCAAGAGAAACACCCATAGGGCACGCACAAAGGAGCTCACCACAGCCAGACACAAACGTGGCACCAGAGAAGAAAGACACACATACACAGGAGACACATGTATATGGGCAAGACACATAAACACACTTAGCACCCATAAGCAGTATAAAGGAGACACACAAACACCCAAGGAACATATACACCCAACCCCATATAGATGATTTGCACAAGCAGACAGCAGTGAAGCACACGTAGTGAAGCACACGTAGTTTTCACAAGTGAAACATGTGAGTCCACAAGCAGTCATAGACACAAGATACAACCAGGCAAGTTACATAGCAAGATGTGGGTGGAGCTCCCATACGTATGTTTATGGCTGAGAACATGTACAGGCAGAGGATATTCAAATACACACACACACACACATACACACACACACACACACTCCCCTCATCTATCCCAGCCTATTCTAGTGCCTCTCTCCTCTCATATTCCTCCTCCCCCACCCCCAGAGCCATACACATCTGTGCTACAGGCTGGCCAGGGAAAGAGACACCTGTCGGCAGAGGCCTTGGCCTACATGGCCATGGTATGTGTGTTGGGGGGAGGCAGGGGAGAGGTGTCTAGGGACATGTCTAGATTTCAAGAAAAGTCGAAGCATCTGGCCAAAGAACTAGTGTACCTTGGACAAAAAAACAGATGCCCCCACCCACCACATCCCAGCAGCAACTTCCTGCCCTGATCATCCCCCTGCCCTCCCAGGGCCTTCCCCAGCCCTCCAACATTGCCCTGTGCAAGGCCACCAGGCACACAGCAGGTGCTAGATAAATGCTGCTTATCAAGTGTCATATTATCATCATTTTTACTTTTATTTCTGCCAAGCGACTTCTTCTAGAGGAGGGATGGGCCTGCATCCAGCCCCGCGCCTCATAGCTTAGCTAAGTTTCAGGGCAAATGGCAAGTGTTCAAGATATGCTGGTAGGAGGAAAAACAAAGGGAAAGTAAAATCTGGCTGCGGAGGGAGGGCAGCTCGCTTTAGAAGGAACAGATGTCTTTAAAGCTTGACCGAGGCCTTGAGTCTGTGCCAGGGATAAGAATGCTTTGTTAGTTCATTGAAGTAAGGTCATCTCTTGGGTTCATTTAAGGCTTTTGTTGGTTCAGTTAAAGCAGACCCTTTTGCGACATTTGGGATTCCGATAGAGTCTATTAAAAGTCGGTTTGGGTTCCTGTCGGTTCTTATAAGCAGATCCCTGCTCTTCATTAAAACAGGTCACTACTCAGCAGCCTTCAGGGGAGGGAGCCACGGAGCAAAGCAGTTAACAGCATGAGCTTTCCCAGCTCTGCCACTTACTAGCTGTGTGGCCTGGAGTGAGTTCTGAAGCCTCGGGGTCTCAGCCGCACCCCCCCCCCCCCGCAGCATAATAGCATCGAAGTCTTAGGGCCCCTGGGAAGACTGAATGAATTAATACAGGTAAAGCACTTAGAACAATGCCTGACACACAGTAATTGCTCAATAACATATTTGTGAAAGGAATTAATGAATTCTTCTCTGCCTGTGAAAGCAACCCCCCACTGGGCTGCATTTAGGATTCTAATCTCTCCTTTCAGGCAGGCTCCCCACAGAGACACTCTTCCGTCCCTCAAAGCAGCCCCTGGGCAGCAAGGCTTTTAGAGTCAGTGTCTGGTCCCCTGCACCTGGACACCCCCCCTCCCCCCGTCTTTCCCTCCCCCGGTAAGATGCCCTCCACGGTACAGAGCTGGCCTGGCAGCTCCCCGCTCCTTGACCTCTTCAGGAGGCTGAGGGGAGGACACTTTTACACTCAGCGGGGTGCCGGGTGGGAGCTGCAGGCCGACACCCTACTTCGGGAAAAGCCTGGGGAGTTCAGAGCCTGGATCCTGTCCCCCAATTCCCCCAGCCCTGCTGGAGGAAGCAAGTTGCTTTGCAAAAAAATTAAACATCCTCTTTGTGAGAGGCAAGAAAACAGGACGTGGGAAGCATCCCACAGGGTGAACATGGGCCCCCAATGCTTGGCACCCCCTCCTCTCTGTGGAGCAGTGGCCAGGTGGCTTGAACCCTTGCTTTCTCACACTTGCTCACCTCCACAGGGGAGCCGTGTTCCCACCCCCCACAAGGCCCTGGAGCGCTGCTGTCCAGCTCTTGCTTCCTCCCTGGCTCTTGGGAACTCCTCCGGGAAGGGCTTCTCGTCCTTGTCTCTGCTCATCTGTCTACACCTCCCAGGGTGCCCCCCACTCCACATGAATGCAGAACGCACCACTGAGGAAAGAATAAAGGAACAAAGCAACAAAAGGGTGGATTCAACAAACATCTATTGAACACCATCTGTGTGCCTGGCCCTGTTCTAGGGCTGGGAGGCAGCAGCGAACAAGATAGAACAAAATTCCTGCCTAGCGAAGCTCATATTTCTAAGGAATGATGAATCAGTTGTTGACTTCTTTGAATACTCACCAAACTTGTTATCACTTCAGGGTCTTTGCACTTGCGGCTGGCTGCTGGTGCCTGGAATGCTCTTCCTCTAAATATTCCTCGGGTGCATTTCCCTTTAGGTCTCAGCTCAAATGCCACCTCCTCAGAGAAGTCTTCCGTGACTATGCTGTCTAAAAGAGCAACTCAACCCCTCTGTTACTCTCCATCCCTTTCACCCTACTTTGTTATTCTTCATTCCTTTTTATCACCACCTGACATCACATTGTATATTTACCCCTATAATAGGATGTTTAATTTAGTACAGTGACTAGAGTAAGTAAATGTATATGGATACCAATATATTTATATATATCAGCATATACATTTAAATATATGCATAAGATGATATGTGTATTTTATATATATACTATGCAAAATACATAAATATATTATACACTTTCTTATATTTACATGTAATAGTATATTTATATTTATTTATTACAAATATATAACCTATACACTAGTGAATATTATACATCACTATATTTCTTTACAATCACATACATATTAAGCAGCATATATGTTTATACACCTAATGTAGTATACAGCCTCCCTATATATCTATAAACTGGGGATGATTACAGTAACTACTTCATATAGTTGTCATTAGGATTAAAATGAGTTCCAGGAAAGAATCCAGCAGTGCACTGGAGCCAAGTTTGCAGACTGCTTTTTCAATTTTCAGGAATATCGCGACAGAGTTCTTAAGCAGTTATTATTTAAAATGAAATAATATAAACTTACAATTAAATAAATGAGATTATTTATTATTTAGAAAGTGATACTCAAAACTCGTCACTTCCTATTTTACTACATTTCACTATTCTCTATGCTTTGGAGGTCTATTTGAACTGTATGGTAGAAATATTACACTAATGCATCTCTTCCGAATTTTGTTCCAAGACTACACGTCAGTAATTTAAAATCTGACAAGATAATAGTATGGAAAACTGGCAAATGTGAGAAATCGGGGCTTTCTCCCTCCCCGCCCCCAGCCCAAAGAGCTCTTTAGTCATTTACCAGCACACCACTGAGAGCACTTGGAATAGATGCTTGACATATGGTAAATGCTTTAATGCTTCCATTACTATATTTGCTTGTGCACCGGGTCGCGATGCAGTTTTTAGTGGGTTGAAGTTAAAAACGTTTGAGGAACACAGAATCACAAAAGGACACTGTGCTGAACTACGCCTATTTAAATCCTCCCGATAACTCTGTGAAGCTATACGACTCATTAGCCCTATTTCACAGAGGGGGAAACTGAAGTTCTGAAAGGTACAACTCAAGTGGGTTCGAATTTGGCCACAGACCGGCTTCCGCGCTCTAGCGCACTTAATTAGCGCACTTTCCTTTTTTTAAAGATTTTTCTGTTTATTTATTCATGAGAGACACAGAGAGGGGGAGAGAGAGAGAGAGGCAGAGGAAGAAGTAGTCTCCATGCAGGTAGCCCGACGTGGGCCTCGATCCCGGGTTTCCAGGACCACGACCTGGGCCGAAGGCGGCGCTAAACCGCTGAGCCACCCAGGTGTCCCTTAAAGTACTTTCCTAACAGGTTCTAGGACTCTAACTCTAATTTCACTTCGCACCACGCCTAAAACGAATGGATTCCGTCGTGCGCGTTGCATCTTGGGAAATGTAGTCCCCGGTGAACACGCTGGTCCGAAATAGGAGGGGCGGGGAGTGAAACGATCTTAGCCTTGGAACAAAGGAAGGGTCGGTTCTTGCGCCTCGCGGTATTTCAGCCGCACAGTGCGCGACTTCAGCCACTCGGCTCGGCCCCGTTGCATGCTGGGAACAGCAGTCCTTGAGACCAACTACGTCGACACAAGATGACGGGGCTCACGTTGTACGTTCAGGTCGGGTTCGCGCCCAGCCGAGCCTTCGCGTTCCAAGATGACAGGCTCGCCACGCTGCGGGAGTCCGTAGGCATGCGCGACAGGCATTTGGACTAAACACAAACTGAAGCCTTACGATTTCTGGCGGGTGTGCGCTTTCGCCGAGTCTCGGGCTATTCACGGACCAGTCTCCTCGTCCCCTTCTCCCCACTCTGAAAGCTAAGGTAGGCCCTGGGGGAGCGGAGGACGTGAGTCCAGGCCGAGATGGTTGAGGCACGCCTGCGCTGTCCCGCTGGCTAGGGAAGGAGGGAAGTTCGCCTTCCGTGCTGCAGCCGCATAGTCTGGGTGGCTGGTGCCGGTTGGGCTGCAGGCGCCAAGGTTTGTCTGTAGAAGGAAACCGCTGTGCGGGGTGGACTGGGAGGCTGGAGGGCGCAGGGGTCCAGGTATTGGAGGAACTTCCTTGAATGGGGTCTGGTGGTCCCAATGGGGACATGGGCTTTGAGGCAATGATGCGAGACCGAGAGCGTGGCCAGAGGACCGTTAGTGGGGCAGGTAGGTGAGTTGCAGGAAAGTACTGGGGGTCTGATGGGCATTGTTAGCGTGGAATCGATGGGGGCTAATAGGAGTGCTTTAGTCAACATGTTCATGGGGGCCAGGGGTGTGTTCATTGAGGAAAGAAGGGGTGGTAGAGTGGGCAAGTAGAAAGAAGATAACAGGAGGTGGATGGGGGTATGATCCCTGAGGGACTGCTGAGGTATGTTAAACAAGTTAATAAATAAAGAGCGATGGGACAGTAGTAAGCCAAACAATAATGGTGAAGCTATGGAGGGAATAATAGAGGCTAGTGGGAGTCGTGATCAAGGAGCCAATGGGGGCAGTGATCACAGAAAAGTGAATGGGAGGGAGAAGGTGTGTTGTAGTCAAAAGGTTTGGGTGATGTAGCATGATAATTGAGGAATTGATGGGAACAGGGTGAACAAAGAGAGGGTAATAGTAAGCTGCTGGGGTGTGATCATCAAGTGATTATTGAGGGGGCAAGGTGGACATTGAGGGAGAATGGGGAACTGATGTTTGATCATAGGGGTTAACATGTGTGATAATTAAAGGATTACAAGGGCTAATGGTGAGATCTATGAGGGATCAGTTGGAGGGCTGATTAAGAGCATAATGGGAAGCTAATAGGCCAGGATTTTCTACATATTCATGGAGATTGATAAAGATGAAGTAATAAAGGAGTTACTGGGGGCCTAATCATTTATTAATGGGGAATGGGGTAGGGAGAGATTAAGGGAGTGAGGAGTATAATAAAGTAGTATTAGGATAATGGGGATAAAAGCAAGGGATTTATAGTGGGCTGATAGAGGTGTATGAATTTAGAGGCCATGAAGACAGCTGGGGAGATGGTCAGTGAGATGTTAATGGGGATGAGGTGAGTGGAGATGCATTCAAAGTCAGTGTTACAGGGCTTGATGTGTGGAGTATGGGGGGCAGTAGTGGGAGTTCAATGGGGTTGGTAATGGGGCATCTATTAGTGTTGGGTTTGGGGATCTGTGAGGTGAGTGGAGGAGTCTGTGGAATGAGCAGGGTGGGTTCTGTGGGGTGAGCAGTGAAGCCTTAGAGTTCAGTGATGGAGTCCCTCAGGCCTTGTGAGGTCAGTGGGGTTAGGGACTGGGCTCTACTTTTCCCATCTGCTGAGTGAGCTGTCATGGAGTTCATGGGGGCGGTTGTGTGGTTCTTATTGCCCTGAAGACATAGATGGTAGCCCACTCACCCAGTTACTGATACAGTGCAGCATCAGCTTACTGTTGGCAGGTCCCTGGGCAAACAGCGTGTGAGATGGGACGGACATCGAAGGACAAGCGGGATGTCTACTACCGCCTGGCCAAGGAGAATGGCTGGCGTGCCCGCAGTGCCTTCAAGCTGCTACAACTTGACGAGGAATTCCACCTCTTCCAAGGTCCCCACCTGGCGGGCGAGATACTGGGGAATGGGGTGGGCAAAGGAAATAGAAAAGTGGGCCATGCCTGCAGAGCTTCCTATGGTAGGTGGGCTGACTGGGAGGGTCTATGGGGCAGGGGCCAGGCAGGAAGAGGGGCAGGTACTTGAAAGGAGTTGGGCATGGATAGATGTGGGTGGAGAGGGGTGAACTTTGCACGGCTCGGGGTTGGAGAGGTGGCTGCAACTGACCATTACACCTTCCTGTGTGTGCTCAGGCGTGACACGGGCAGTTGACCTGTGCGCAGCCCCAGGCAGCTGGAGCCAGGTGCTGAGTCAGAAAATTGGGTGAGTGTGGAGTCCCAGATGGGGCAGCCAGGAGGGTAGGCCAGGTCAGGGATGAGCCAAGAGTAAAAACTGGGCTGACATGGGTCATGTTGTCCACAGGGGCCAGGGTTCCGGCCATGTGGTGGCTGTGGACCTTCAGGCTATGGCTCCGTTACCAGGTGTGTTACAGATCCAAGGGGACATCACCCAGGTACGAGTATGGCTGGGGGTATTGGGGTGTATCCTGGGCCAGAGCCCCTCTAACCTGGCAGCTACGCAAAGTGGAAGAGAAAGAGAGAGAGTAACCAAGAGAACCTGAGAGAGTGTAACAATGGAGAAACAGAGCCAGCAGGTCATCATCGCAGAGACAGCTAAAAATGATGGGACTGGGTCCCCAGAGATGGAGCCCAGTCTTAGACCAGCAAAGCCTGAGGGTTTGGCTGACCCAAGGTTGCTGGCTAGGACCATGGGCAGGTGGGGTTAGAGGGCTGCAGACAGGGGGGCCTGGGACCACTTGTCTTCCCTCTCTTCCATAGCTGTCCACTGCCAAGGAGATCATCCAGCACTTTGAGGGCTGCCCAGCGGACCTAGTGGTGTGTGACGGGGCTCCTGATGGTAAACAGCAGGGGTTGGGAGACCAGGCGGGGCCCTGTGTGTGTCCTTCTCTGTGGCTCCCACATCTGTTGGCTTCTTTCTTTCTCTCTCTTTTTTTAGAGAGGTGGGGGCAGAGGGAAAGGGAGAATAATAAGCAGGCTCCATGCCCAGTGTAGGACATGGGGCTCAGTCTCACAACCTTGAGATCATGACCTGAGCTGAAATCGAGAGTCGGACACTGAACCAACTGAGCCTCCCAAGCACCCTCTGTTGGCTTCTTTCACCACTTCAGCTACTCCCTGCCTTCCCTCTGCTTTCAGCTGTCCCCCCACATCTAGCAATTTCTCCCTACCCCTGCTTCCTCAATCTCTGCTTCTGTCTCCTCCATCTCTACACCCTACTGTTTTGGTTTTGGCTGCTATCTACCCTTCCCTTTGCCCATCTGTCATATGCAACTGTTTCTATTGTGCTGATCATTCATGTTTTTCAGTCAGCTGTTCACTCAGTGCACATTTATTGAGCATCTATTATACGTCGGGCACTGTGCTACATGTGGGGAAGACATTTGTGTATAAAATTCTTTTTTTTAAAGATTTTATTTATTTATTCATGAGAGACACACAGAGAGAGAGAGGCAGAGACATAGGCAGAGGGAGAAGCAGGCTCCATGCAGGGAGCCCAATGTGGGACTCGATCCTGGGACTCCAGGATCACGCCCTGAGCCAAAGGCAGATGCTCAACCACTGAGCCACCCAGGCATCCCTGTGAATAAAATTCTTATGTGACCTCATAGACCTAATATTCTAGTGAGAGCAGAGGGAAAAGAAACAAATGATGGAGTCACATAGTATGTGAAGAGATAATAGGTACCATGAGGAAAGTCAATGGAAAGGAGGGGACAGGGAGTACCTGTTGGAATTTTAAGTAAGGCGGACGGGAAGGCCCCCAGGACTTTAACACAAAGACCTAACAGAGGTGAGGGAGTAGTCCAGAGGCATATCTGGAGAAAGAACAGTCCAGGTAGAGGGACCAGCCAGTGCAAAGGCCCCGAGGTGGAGGATGTTTGGCATATGTGAGGGCCTGTGAGGATCAGAGTGGTTAGGGACGCCTGGGTGGCTCAGCGGTTGAGCATCTGCTTTTGGCTCAGGGCATGATCCCAGAGTCCTGGGATCGAGTCCCACATCAGGCTCCCTACATGGAGCCTGCTTCTCCTCTCTTTTCCTGTGTCTCTGCATCTCTCTCTGTCTCTCATTAATAAATAAATATTTTTTTTTAAAAAAAAGGATCAGAATTGTTAGATTAGAGGGAGTGAGGGGGAAAGTGGTAGCAGGGGAGGTCAGAGAGACAGGGTGGGGGAAGGTCCTTGTGTGGGGTCCTCGTGGGCCCCAGTGAGCATTGTGGCTTTTTCCTTGAGATGAGAACTCAGAAAAAACCATGAGATGGTTGTGAGCAGAGGAGGGCCATCCCTGGCTCAGCTTATGACCGGACCCCTCTGGCTGCTCTGAGCAGTGTGAGGGGCAAGGGTGGGAGGAGGAGGCGACTGCAGTAGCCCAGGTGGACAGTGTACCCCAGAGTGGTGGTGGCAGAGATGAGAGGATCAATCCAGCAGATCTTCTGCAAGTACAGCCAACAGGACTTGCTAATGCTTCAACATGGATGTGAGGAGAGAACAGAGTGTGTCAAGGTTACTGAGGTTTTTGGCCTAGAACAGCTGGAAGGATCAGATGGAATGGGAAAAGTGGGGTAAGGAGAGAGGTTTGAGCAGGAAGGTCAGGAGTCTGGTCTTGGACATGCTGAGTCTGAGATGTCCAGTCTGATCTGTGAGTCAGGTGCTCAGAGGAGCAGTCTGGCTTGGAGGTAAGAAATAATAATAATGATACTTGTGTATAAGGTGGTTTTGAAAATTAAAATGAGTTCCTAAGGTTTCAGAGCCCAGAACACACATCCAGTTGGCAGGTGGTAATTTGCGTGCAGAACCTCAGTAGGAGGAGAGCCTGGGAAATGGTTGTAGCATCCTGACCTGTCTGGGACGAGAAGATAGCCAGAACCGGCTGGCCCCCCTAACACTGTTCTTCTTGCTGCAGTAACTGGCCTCCATGATGTTGATGAATATATGCAGGCCCAGCTCCTCCTAGCCGTGAGTAACCTTGGCCACCCCTGCCTCAGTTTGGACCCTTCATGCCTGTCTCCACCTCAGTCTTAGCCATTTGTCCTGCCCACAGGCTCTGAATATTGCTACACATGTCTTGAAGCCAGGGGGATGCTTTGTAGCCAAGGTGAGCATTGGAGGACCTGATGAGGGCAAAATAGGGGTCCTCCAGGGCCGCCCTTGTGCCTTCATCCCCTGTCTCCTTGCCCTACAGATCTTCCGAGGCCGGGATGTGACCCTGATCTACAGCCAGCTGCGAGTCTTCTTCTCTAATGTGCTCTGTGCTAAGCCCAGGAGCAGCCGCAACTCCAGCATAGGTCAGTGGGGTGCAACGGGCAGGCAGGCAGACATGAATCTTGGGGATGCATCTTGTGTGGGGTGGAGGTAGCAGTCACCCCTCACTCTACCTTCCACCCACAGAGGCCTTCGCTGTCTGTCAGGGTTATGACCCCCCTGAAGGCTTCCTTCCAGACCTGACCAAACCCCTGCTGGACCATTCGTACGGTGAGAGCCAGAGTTCTGGGCCCCCTCCCTGGGGAGACTCTGCCCCCTTATGGAATGTATGTCTTAGGAGGGCCCTCAGCCCCACCCCTGTATGGATGTTTTGTCCCAGGAGGATCTTCATCCCAGTCTTCTCATGATTACTCTCGGGTCCCAAGTCGTGCCCCAGTGGAGATTACACCCACCTAAGTTTCTAGCCTAGGAAGACTGGGTCACGCCCCCAGGTGGATACTCCACCCCTGCATGGGAATTTGGCCTCGAGAGAGTCTTTAGCCTGGTCCCTAGTGGGCAAAGGCACAGAGCCTGCTCTTAAGGTGAGCACACTTGAGTGAGACAGAGTTCAGACAGCGTATGGTAGAATGGCAGGTGAACATAAGGCGCAGCGTGAGAAGAGCAGGAGAGGGGGATGCTCTAGAACAGGTGATCTTGGAGGGGCTCCCTGAGGAGGTGATCTGAACAAAATGAAGGATTTCTGGTGGAGGAGTGTGAGAGTAGCTGGTAGGTACATAGGAAGGATTCCGTACCCTTGCTGTAGAAGGAGTCCCAACTGGTCTCAGGCATCCCAGTCCTGTCCTGTCTTATTTCTCCCTGCTTGTCAGATCCAGATTTCAACCAATTAGATGGTCCCACTCGCATCATTGTGCCATTTGTGACCTGTGGAGACCTGAGCTCCTATGATTCAGACCGCAGTTACCCACTGGACGTGAGTGCCCAACCAATAGTAGGCAGGGGATGGCAGGGGAGAGGGGCTCTCCTGGGTTCTCATATCCTCACCATCTTCCCCCAATGTGTCCCTGCAGCTAGAGGACGGCTCAGAATATAAGTACACTCCACCCACGCAGCCCCCCATCTCGCCACCGTACCAGGAGGCCTGCACGTTGAAGAAGAAGGGGCGGCTGGCCAAGGAGCTCCGCCCCCAGGACTGTCCCATCAGCACAGTGGACACGCTGTCCCAGCCCCTGGCGGCCCCACAGCGCCACACCCTGCTGGCCCCTGAGGTCCGGAAACCTGTGGCCCAGGGCCCTCTGTGCATTTTCTCTGAGCCCACAGTGAGCCCCTCTTAGTGCACCTCTCTCTGTCCCCAAATGGCGTGGTTCTGGGGCAGGGTGGAATGCTCATCCCTGCCTCCCAGCAACTATAAAAAGTTGATGGGTAAAACCAAGTGTAATGAATGGAAAAGCTTGGCAAGTACCTGAGTCATTTTTCTTTTTCTTGGGTAGGTGGAAGACAGTGAAATGAATTGTTCGCCTTAATACACTCAGGTAAATTTGCCTTTTTAGCTAATAGTTTGAGTGAAGGGCACCTTTAAGAAAAAAACTCAGGAAAGTTTCACCTTTGAAATGTTTATATCAACTGATAAGATTTCAGTCAGCCCACCTTTACTAAGTACCTGATGTCACATGCCAAGAACTGCTTTCAGCGTTTTAGGTATGGAGGCATTCAGCAAACTGTTTCTTAACCACACGCTGTGTGCCAGGCATTGTTCTAGTTTGGGAGATAGAGCAGGGAACAGAACAGGCAAATATTCTGGTGCTGGTGGAGCTTCCAGATTGGGAAAGGGGTAATAAAAACAGCTTATGAATGCAGGAGTTTCTACACACGGCATACACATAGATACATTATATATGCATACTTGTACACATACACATTTCTAGCTTTCATTTCAGTATATATAGCTTAAATTATACTGTAGATATAAAGGTATATTTATATGTATATATCATATATATATGTAAAGGTAATAAGGGATATAAAAAATTTTTTTAAGATTTTATTTATTTAAAAAAAAGATTTTATTTATTTATTCATGAGAGACACACAGAGAGGCAGGCTCCATGCAGGGAGCCTGATGTGGGACTTGATCCCGGGTCTCCAGGATCACACCCTGGGCTGAAGGAAGATGCTTAATTGCTGAGCCACCCAGGCATCCCAAGAATTATTTTTAATAAAGTAAGGTAAACAGAATCAGGAATTTCAGGGGTGACAGTTTTTCAGTTTTTAAAAGGGTTATCATGGAAGGGCTTACTGAGGTAATGTTTGAGCCAAGACCTAAAGGAGATGAGGGAGGGAATGCATGTGTTCATCTAGGGGAAGAATGTTCCATGGAGAGAGAATAGCAAATGCAAAGATCCTGAGGTAGAACTATGGCTGGTGTGTAAGGGAGTAGCGAGGGGCCAGTTCTGCTCCTAAGAAATAAGTACCAGAATTCTTCACTGGCACTATTTGTACCCTCAGACTAGATATAGCCCAAACATCTATTAACTGCAGAGTGGATCATTAAATCATGGTATATTCACAGTGGGGAATTACACAGCAATGAGAATGAACATACTACAATTATGAAAATACCTTGTCAGTCCTTAAACTGAACCTATATAAAACATGTAAGTGTGTATTTTTCTGTATGTTACAGTTCACAATAGAAGTGTAGGGGAGAAGGTCAAAAAAATGTTAGTACTGGAGCACCTGGGTGGCTCTGTCAGTTGGGCATCTGCCTTGGGCTCAGTATGATCCCGGGGTCCTGGAATCAAGCCCCACAATCAGGCTTCCTGTTCAAGGCGGAGGCTGCTTCTCACTTTGCCTCTCCCTCTGCTTGTGCTCTCTCTCTGCCTGTCAAATAAATAAATAAAATATTTTTTAAGGTTTTAAAATTTTTTTATTTATTCATGAGAGACACAGAAAGAGAGGCAGAGACGCAGGCAGAGAGAGAAGAAGCAGGTTCCATGCAAGAAGCCTGATGTGGGACTCAATCCTGGGACTCCAGGATCACGCCCTGGGCCGAAGGCAGATGCTCAACTGCTGAGCCACCCAGGCATCCCAAGTACTGACATTTCTTTAAACATTTTATTTATTGGGATGCCTGTCTTCAGCTCAGGGCATGATCTCAGGTCTGGGAATTGAATCCTACATCAGGTTCCCTGTGGGGAACCTGCTCCCTCTGCCATTGTCTCTGCCTCTCTCTCTATGTGTGTTTCTCATGAAAAAATAAATAAAATCTTTAAAAAGAAATGTTAGTAGTTGAGTGAAAAATGATTATAGTAGAAGTGGGAGAATGTATGTTTAAAATTTTTTCTGTCCCTGATTTTAGGTAGCTGGCAGTCTGCTACAACCCAGAAGCTGTTTGGCGGCAGGAAAACAAAAGAACTTACGTTGATGAACTGGTTTTCAAATATCTCATCAACGGGTCCTGAACATTCAAGCCCTGAGTGGTAACCCACAACAACTAGCAGGAGCCCAGCAAGGAAAGCAACAGCACAGTATGCCTGTCTACACCACGGAGGGGATTTTTGAGCGAGGCCTTGCCTCCTTTCTAAATCTTTCCAGAGGTGTCCTGATTATTTCTAGAGTTTACCCCCAAAGTAGGGGTTCTTCACCGTATAGAAATCAGGGGTATCTGTGAACCTGATGGAGGAAAATCTTACATCTTTATTTTCACTAATATAACTGAAATTTCACTAATATAACTAAAATTTAGCTTTACTCCCCAATAGGAATGCTGGCAACAAATCACAATAGTAAAAGCAGTGCCTGTTACCTTCCCACCAATACAAATTAGTTACTTTTTACGTACATTACAGTTTTTGCAGGCATCTTAAGATGCTGTTCACGCTTGGCACTACTTTGACTTACAGAAGATCTTATAATTTGATGTACTAATTAAAAAAGTCCATATATTACTGTATTCCAGTGTTTCATTTTAATATATATAGTAATATTTGTTCTCATTAACATAAGACATAAATTTAAAGTATACAACCTAATTTAATGTATACCTATTGCAGAATGATTACAGTAAGTTAATATGCATCACCTCGCAGAAATTTTTTCCTGTGATAGGAACTTTTAAGATTTCTCTCTCTTCTCTCTTTTTTTAAGATTTTATTTTATTTATTCATGGGAGACACAGAGAGAGAGAGGCAGAGACATAGGCAGAGGGAGAAGCAGGCCCCCTTGTAGGGAACCTGATGCGGGACTTGATCCGGGGACTCCAGGATCATGCTCTGAGCTGAAGACAGACACTCAAATGCTGAGCCACCCAAGTGTCCCAAGATCTCTCTCTTTTTTAAATATTTTATCTAGCCATTTGAGAGAGAAAGTGCAGGGGTGAGGAGGGGGAGAGAGATAAGAGCAGGCTCCTTGCTGAGCAGGGAGCCCAACACAGTGCTCGATCCCGGGACCACCCCAAGACCACAACCCAAGCCAAAGACAGAAGCCCATCTGACTGAGCTACCCAGGCATCCCCAAGATCTCTTAGAACCTTTCAAATATATGATCTAGGTAATCATAGTCACTATCCAGTACCTTACAGCCCTAAACGTAGAACTTGAAGTTTGTACCTTTTGACCACCTTCACCCATTTGACCCCTGCCTCTGGCAACCATCGATTTATTGTCTGTTTCTAGGAGTTTGGGCTTTTTTAGATTACACATACGAGATCTTCATAGTATTTGTCTTTCTCTGACTTATTGCACTTAGCACAATGGCCTTGAGGTCCATCTGTCTCACAAATGGCAGGATTTCCTTTCCATGGCCAAGTAATCTTCTATTGTATATATAAATACATATACCACACTTTATTCATTCATCTGTCGACAGACAAGTAGTTTTTTCTCATATCTCTGCAACAAGAACCCCTATAAGTGATGTCAGAAAGTCTGCCTTGACTGCAGTGCTGAATTTCTACAAGTTAGCCAACAGGAGCTGCCAAGCTCACCAGCTACACAGGCAGAACTAGTTTCTGCAGTTTACACCTGTATCTAAAAACACATTCTCTGTGTACACCTCAATTTGGTGACCTCAGGACCACCCACATCCCAGTTGGTGACCCTAGATGTCTCTGTCCTTGACAGTGTGAACCTGGGCATGTCCATACTGAGTCTATAACGCTGGATGTTGGGGATGGGGCACACTACACAATGTCAAACCAGGAGTCTTCACACCCAAGCAGTGTGATTCTGGAAATGTATAACAGAAGTATCTGCGCAAAAGCCTACGTGGCCATGGGCATATCTGCACCTATTACCATGTAAATTCAAAGTGTCCACACTAGAGGCTGAGGCCCCAGGAGTAGCCAACTAAATCTCCAGGAGTATAAACACGCCAGCCCTTGAGACCCAGCAAATACCCACATCTCAGGCTTTGTGTCCCTAATTGCATCCAACCCCATCTGTATGATATCTGGCATATACACACAAGTCCCTGTGATGGGAATAATTTCCAATCCCCAGACTGTGTGACCCAGCAGTGTCCCAAGCCCTGAATGTGTGGCCCAGGAAGGACCAGCCTAACTCAGGTTCAGTCTCCCAACTTTGGGAGCACCCTGTCTGGCTCTGAGTTTGGATACCCTACCCTTGCAACTCCACACCTCTCCATGTGACCCCTGAATTTTCCACACCCAAGTCAATTTGTCTACAGAGGCATGTGTATCCCATACCATGTGTCCCCAATTGAGCATTTACCATAGTCTGAGTGACCCCTTGTGTGTCCTTAGGAGCACACCCCTCATCTGTGTTACCGTAGAATTGTTCACACCCTAATCCACCACCATAGGCCCAGTCATTGTCCCCTGGGAGTGATCCTTCTTCAGACTTTGAAATGCCAGAAGTGTCCACACCAAGTCTGTGTAACTCCAGGAGGGCCCACAGCCAGCCTGTTTCTCCAGAAGTCTCCACACAATAGCTTGTCTGTGTAAACCCAGGATGATCAACTTTCTACGTGACCATGGGAGAAGCCACAACCCGGTCTTTGTGTCCTCAGGGTGGCATACCCTTAGCTGTGTGTGATTCCTGGGGTTTTTACACCTTAGGCTATGTGATCAAATAAGTCTCCATGCCCCAAGCTCTGACCACCAGGGAGTCACTCCCTAGTCTGCAACTCTAAAGGGCTTTCCACACCTCAACCTCTGTGGCCCCAAGTCCATTCACTACATTGCCTGCGTGGCCATGGGAGTTTCCACTTCCCAGTCTGGGTGACCCTAAGAGCAGCCAAACTCTGGTCTGTATGATCCCAAGAGTGTCTATATCCCAAAGACTGTGAGCAGGGGAGTGTCTACATTTGAGTACAAACACTTTCTCTTCCTTCTCTTCCTTGTCTCTGGGACCACAGATGAGTCCTGGCTGTGTCCACATCCCAGTGTCTGACTACAGAAACGTCCAAAGCCCAGCCCATGTGACCCCAAGAGAATGTGTCCCACGATCAATGTGAGTCCAGAAGTGGCATCAGCCCAGTCATTGTGACCACAGGAGTTTCCATATCACAGTCTTGGGGGTACCATGAGCTCATGTGTGGCAAACTGTGGTCACAGAGGTGTCTATACTCCAGTCTACGGGACTCCACACATGTCCACGGCTCAGTCTGTGATGTTCTGGGAGTGGTTTACGCCAGTCCAGCCACTTCAGGAGTGTCCATTCCCCAGTCTCCATAACCTGTGAGTGACCACACCTCCATCTTTGTGACAGAAGCAATGTCCAATTCCAACTCCGTTGTCCAAACCCCACCGTGTCTGGCACAGTGTTGTCTATACCCCAGCCTGTATGGCCTCTCAAGGGTGTAGTCCCATCAGTAAGACCACAGCAGTAGGAAACTCCTGTGCCTGTGAGGCCTGGTAGGTCCATACTCCAGTCTGGGTAACCCAGGGAGGACATTCTCACATCTGTGTGACCAAATAAGTCTCCACACCCCCATATCTGTGACTCCAGGGTAGACAGTTTCCCATTCCATGTGAAAAGAGGAGTACCCATGCCAAATTCTGTGTGACCACAGGGTGCCCATCCCCCATCTGTGTGTCTCGAGAGGCATCTTTGTTCCAGTTGGTGCGATTCCAGCAGAGTCGACACCACAAGCCATGTGTGATCACAAGGGTGTCCGTGGCCAAGCCTATGATAACCCAGGAATATCTGTGCCACAGCCACATGACCACAATAGCATCTACCTCCCAGTTTATGCACCTTCAGTGATGTCCTTGTCCTACTATGTGATCCTAGGCATGTCCAGACCCCAGAATTTGTGACTGAGAGTGTCCCAAAATTGAGCCTATGTAAAACCAGAAGATACCAGATCATAGTCCGTGTGGCCCAAGAGTGTCCATGCCCCAAACAAGATGATCCAAGAGGTGTCCAAACTCCGGTCTGTGTGACCCCAATGTTGTCTACATGCCAGTCTGTGTGACACCAAAAGTGCCCACATACCCATACCAATCCATAAGGCTCTAAGAAAACACATCTGTGATACTTCAGGAGTGGCCACACCTCATTCCATGTGACCTCAACCATGTCCACATCCCAGTCTGTGTGACCCCTAAAGCCTCTACATCCTACTGTGTGACCCCAGAAGTGTTCCAAAGCAATCTCTGTGATCCTGGGCAGTCCATCCCCCAATCAATATGTCCCCTGGATTGCTTATACCGAAATCTAGTGACTTCATGAGTGTCTACACCCTCAACTGTTTGATCCCAAGAGGGGCCACACCCCAGACTGTATGACCCTGGGAGGATCCATACACAAATCAGTGTGACCCCAGAAGGAGTTATGTCTGGAGGAAGAATGATCCAGACAAAGGGAAAAGCCAGTGCAAAGCCCCTGAGGTGGAACAGTGAGGAGACCAGTGTGGTGGGAGCAGAGTGAGCGAGGGGCCAGTGGCAGGTGGTGAAGCCAGAGAGGTGACAAGGGCCTGGTTCTATAGGGCCTTGCAGGCCACAGAAAGGACTTTGGCTTTTTCTCTGCGAGATGGAACCACACCAGAGGTCTGAACAGAGGAGGACTGAGGGCCGACTTGGGTTGTAACAGAACCCTCTGGCTGCTACCGTAAGGACAGACCGAAGCACCTGAATCAGATCAGAGAGGCTGATCAGTGCGGGACAGTGGCCCCAGGGCCCAGCACTGTAACCATTTGACAGGTTTCCCTAGGAGGCCGTGCATTCTCTCAGGGGTATATGGTAGGATTCCAGCCTCCTCCTGTCCTCCAGAAATGCAGCACATGTTAGGAGGAAGCCAGGCAATTGAGCAAAGATGCCCTCAGTGTGGAACCTTTGGCCAACAATAACTTTCCCCTGGTCCCGGGTTCCTCACCTTTGGCAGATGAGTATAATCCCTCCCTGCCACTCTCTCCAGTGTCTCTCCAAGTGCACCAGCCTCCTTGATGTTCCTCAAATACACCAAGCATTATTTCACCCCAGGGCCTTTGCACCCTGGACACCCTTCCACCTGGACACCCTTCCCAAGATAGATACATAGTTCAAGGGTTACGTGGCTGCCCTCTTCATTTTCTTCTTTTCTCTGCCTAAAGGTCATCTCAGGAAGCCTTCCCTAACTATCCAAAACAGCACCCCCTCCCTCTCTACACCTGCATCCCGCCTTGTTTTCTTCATAGCCCTTAACATTTCCTAATAATACATATCTACTTGTTGGGCGCAGAGTGGGGCCACTGGGAAGACAGAGTACACAAGGCACATGCAGGTGGAATTTGAAGAGATCTTAAAAAAAAGATTTTTTTAATTTATTCATGAGAGACACAGAGAGAGGGGCAGAGACATAGGCAGAGGGAGAAGCAGGTTCCCTGCAGGGAGCCTGATGGGGGCCTCAATCCCAGGACCCCGGGATCAGGACCTGAGCCAAAGGCAGATTCTCAACCACTGAACCACCCAGGTGCCCGACATAGTAGGTTCTTAGTAAATATTTATTGAAA